TTTAAGCACTGTACTGTAGTTGATAATATTGTTTCCCATGGGTCAATAATTCTGATACTCTTATAGATATATATTAGAATTAAATAATTGAGTAAATGAATGACAAATGTTGGAAACAAGATTTCTCTCTTTTGGGGTGAAACTACAGATAAGCAAGGGAATTAGAAGAATAGAATGATTCATGTGGTAAAGAATTACAGTTGGAGAGATCAGTAGGAACTCATGTCTAGCTTAATATAGATGTAAATGGTTACACATAGAAATATTTATAGATACGTTTTATATACAGGTGAGTATACATTCATATATTTCCTTGCTTCTTGAGGTGAAAGTACCTGAATGAAACAACACCCAGTAGCATCTAGCACACCTAGCTCCCAGATCTCAGTTTTTGATGCCATTCTTCAGTAAAAGGAAGCAAGGCTCCTTGGAGAAATGGCTATCAAGGACTGGGGCAGAAAATATACAAGATGAAACTGGAGCATCTTGTAGTGCTTGAAAGTAAGGAAGTGTTGTTTTTGTTGTTGTTTTAAAAAGCATTGATAGCAATATGTCAAAAGGACCACAGAAGAGTTCTCTGTGTGTGAAAGAGCTCCCAATGACAAAACTGGAATGATTATTTAATTGATACATATTAGATATACATATTTTGGGGGTACATGTGATAATTTGATACATCCATATAATCAAATCAGGATAATCAGATACCATCACCTTAAATATTTATCTTTTCTTTACACTAGGAACACAGTTTGAACAACAAAATAAATAAAATGATGGTGGATTATAAAACAAAGTATACTTGTATAAATAAATTACTGAATAAATAAATAAATAGGGAAGATAAGGCAAATATCCCATGTTGAAGAATTCCAAATAATTGATGTAGATACTGTGTTCTCAAGGAGGGGGGCATACATTTTCACTCCTAAGTGTGGGCTGCTCATAGTGACTTCCTTACAAAGAGCACAGTGTGGTAAAGGGACGGGGTGAAGGGTAACCTTACAGTGGAGAAATCTGACAAACACGCCTTCAGTCATCAAGGTCAGCATCAACAGTGAAAAGTCATGTTGATAGTATGTTCCCTTGATACGTGATGAAAATGGCATGTTACCTTCAGGGTCTTTCTCCTCAAAACCCGTAACCCCAGTCTAATCATGAGAAAAGTATAGAATTCCAATAGAGGGGCATCCTACAAACTACTTGACCAATGTGCCTCAAAATTATTAACGTCAGAAAAAAAGAAAGTCTGAGAAACTGTCACATCCAAGAGGAGCCTAAGGGAACATGGTGACTAAGTGTAATGTGATATTCTGGATGGGATTCTAGCACCTAAATAGGATATTAGGTAAAAATAAGGAAATCTGAGTAAAGCATGGATGTTAGCTAATAATAATAATGTATCAATATTGGTTCATTAATTGTAAAATTTAAGATGATAGCCATGGGGGAAAGTCAGTACAGGCATATGGGAATTCTACTGTCTTCTCAACTGTTCTGAAACTCTAAAACTGTTCTTAAAAAATTAAGTCTATTGTTAAAAAGTCAAACAAAATGATACAGGCTATAAGCTGGATAAAAATTCAAGGCTATGGACATACACAGAAGAAATATTAACATTGATTTGACTTATTAATAGCAAAGGTATTTAATTTTCAGAAAAGATTTTCAGTTGACCAACTTAAACACTTCATTCTCCAAGCATGATCTACACAGTTTGAGAAATATAATAAGAGAAATTCATAAGGTTTTTTCAGCATTGCAATAATCACCTTAGGTCTTACTTGCCTGTTTAATCCTTACAATAGCTCTAGGAGGAATATGCTATCGCCATTTTAAAGATGAAGAAATTGCAGTTCAGTCGATTGCCCAGGTTTGGACAGTTAGTAAACAGTAAACAAAGATTTGCACTTGGGAAGTATGAATCCTGTACCCACAGTCTTAACCCCATGCTGCACACGTACCAACATTAATAGCTGAAAATATTCCCAATAACTGAGTTGACTGACTTGCTATATGCTGTTATCAGCAACATAATAGTTAGAAATTAGTGGCAGCTGTTATGAATAATGACTTTTGTTTTAGACAAGTAGATCTGTAGATTATTTTTCTGGCAGAAATTTGAAACCAGAGAACTATTGATTATTGGATATCCTATGAGGTGTTTTTTTTTTTTTTTTTTTTTTTAATAGAGACGGGGTCTCACTTTGTTGCCCAGGCTGGTCTTAAACCCCTGGGCTGAAGCAACGCACACACTTCAGCCTCCCAAAGTACTAGGATTACAGGTGTGAGTCACCACACCTGACTATTTTTTTAAAATCATGAAATGTGTGAAAAAATTACCATGTCAGTATAAATTCTCTTCATACCAGAATTTGGCATAGTGTAGAAACAGGTTATTATTGAACTTAGAACATCAGGTTTTTGCCTGAAAAATTATTTCTACTTATCAAGAGATGTTCTTGAATGGAGGTGAACATTATGTCCAAGGCACTGATCTTTCATAAAAATAAACTGGAGAAAAATGCTGTTTTGAAAATAAGGACATTGACCTCACCATTGGCTACTCTTAATGTGCTATGTGTGAAATTCTGATTAAAGTATGACAACATTTCAAAAATGTTGCTTAACCTAGTATACACTTTCAAGATACAACTTTGACTGAGGAAGACTCAGTCTAGCAAAAGTCTTTTCTATAATGTGAACACGACTTTCAGACCAAGATGGTGATGGTACCATCAATATTTTGCCTTAAGAAACTTAAGAACGTAATACAAAAAATTTAAATGTACTCCTTTTAAGGGAAAGCCACCAGCAATTTCTAAACTTAAAGCAGGAAGATGAAAGGATAAAATAAATTGTGCCTTATATTCTACAATTCTAGAAGAAACATGAGCTCGACTCCAGGGTTGCACACAGTCATGCCAGTGTGATCTGGGGAAGAATCCCGAGGCTCCAACCCTGGGCTCCAAGTTTTGATCCCTCGGCATTGGGTACAGGAGGGGGATTGATGCTGCTGATGTGGGATTTCCTGGACTCTGACTTCACCAACTCATCACATATCATCATTATCTTCCAGTCTCTCCTCTCTGAGTCCTTTCCTTCAGCTGTTGCACCATTTCTACTTTGTTCAGAGGGATAATGCTGGAAAGTATAGGATGTCAAGTTCACTCTGCTTTTATTTTTTATTCCTTTTGGCAGACAGTTGGCAGCTGTGTGAAGATGGGAATGGAGGAGGCAGGGTAGGCAGTGGGTGACGCAGCCACAGCTTGGGTTCTCTGCAGCCCTGGCACACAAGATAGGAACACCCATGGGGGATGCGGCCACCATGATGTCTTCCCACACAAGGAGTGCCAAGTGCTTTTCTCACGCTTTTCTGGATTGTTCCATGGTGGATGAGTCAGCAGGAGTGAGATGGAGCCGCAGAGTAGAGGGGTATTTGGCAAGGCCTGAGGGAGGATCCCCTGTCCCCAACATTTCAATGATATCAGGTGACAGCAGTGATTCTCTTAGCACCTGGTCTGCTTTGTCCCAGGCCAGGATATCATTGTACATATTCTCAGCTGGGTGAGCACCAATAGAGGACAGGGAGAGTCTTGTGGAAGTTCTCTCTAAGCCTGTGGCTCTTTTCTTCTTCAACAAGATGTGCCACCTCTTTGTTCCAGCAAGTAGGAAGAATAGTCTGGGCCTCTTTGCATACAAGACTGTGATACGACTGCACCATCACAGGCCCCACAGGGGAGCTGTCCGTTTCCCCACACAGCTGCTAGGAGCTCTTTCCCATATTCCCAACCTTTCCTGCCTTTATCTGATATTTGTGAGTACAATTGTAGAAAAGGGAAGTGCTTTGATAGTCAGCAAGTGTCAGCAGGTTGAGGATTCTGTAAAGGCATCTTGGAAAATCGAGGAAGGAGACACATGCTTAATTCCCATGCTCTGTTACCCTGGCCTCCAGCAAAGCCTACCCTCGTATCAGAGAGGCCCATTGTAGATAAATATGGGCTGCCAAAAGCAAGACAAGCCTCGGGCAAACTGCCCAACAGATGGTTCAACTCTGTGTGTACCAGCCAAGGGCCAATGTGTCAGACAGTAGCTTCTGTTTGTGCCTTAAGTCAGAGTGTGAATATAAGATAATTCTGGGATGGCAGGGATCCCACATTTATGGATGTGGGATGGTTTAGTTCCAGGCAAGAGAAACTTAGGACATCCTCTTTCAGGAGTTTGAATGCATGGCTTTCTCTGCCGCCTCCTCAAAGCCTTGGCCACTGGAGCTGAGTGGTGAGAAGGGTGAAGGGCTTTAGACAGGAGGGAAGGAATGTCCTTGCATGGCTCAGAGGATGGGGACCCTAGCCAAGATCTTGGTGCTCTGGCCTGCAGGTAGCATTAGAAGCCAGCCCAGGGAGCAGGGCAGTGGCCTTGTACAGAGGGCTTGAGGTGGCTAAATTTATGTGTCAACCTGACTAGGCTAAGGGATACTCACACAGAGGGTAGAACATGATTCCTAGGTGTGTCTGTGAGGCTGTCCCCTAGAGGTTGGCATTGGACTCAGTGGATTGGGCAAACATCTGCTCTCACCCGTGTGGGTGGGCACCATCCAATGAGGGCCCAAATAGAACAAAAAGGTGGAGGAAGGGTGAATTCGCTCCCTCTACTTGAGCTGGGACATCCGTCTTCTCCTTGGACATCTGTGCCCTGGTTCTCAGGCCTTCAAATCCTGGGACTTACACCCGACCCCCTGTAAGTCCCCTGGGACGTACACAGACCCCCCCCCCCACCCCCCGCTCCGCCAAGGCTACCCCAATTCTCACCCTGTTGGACTTGAACCAAATTACACCACTGGCTTTCCTGGTTCTCCGGCTTGCAGCCAGCAGATGGGAGTACTTCTCGGTCTCCATAACCACATGAGCCAATTCCTATAATAAATCTCCTCATAGCTATTGATCTATAACTATTTATTCTCTGGGAAACCTTTACTAATACAGGGCTCTTTTTTCCCTCAGGTTCCTTAGATCCTGGGATGAGGAGGTTGACCAGAAGGTGGGCTTGGGAAGGTAGCCTGGGGTCCAAATCCTCTTGGCTCTTCAGCTTGGCAGGTTAGTTAACATTCAGAAGCCTTCATCCCCCATCCACAAAATGGGCATGTCCAACTCAGAAGCTGCCTTGAAGAAAGGGTCTACCCAGCATGGTGCGTGGAGCCTAAGCAATCAGTACTTCAGGACTTTACCCTGCCCCTTTCCAATAACTGCTGCTGTCGCCCTCACAGGATGTCACCCTCAGTGTCTGAAAGCTGGGTTTGATGCGTCTGGAAAAGCGTCCCTCACAGGCGTCGTTGCTGGGAGCCCCTGGTGCCGCCAGCAGCTAGCAGGGAGCATGTCCTCTGCCCGCTCACTTCTGACCCTTCTCTCGCTGCACGGATGGGGACCTTAGGACAGAATGGCTCTAAACCCGCTCCTGTCTACGGTGTGAGCATTTCCTGATGTGAAAGCTTCAACCGCAGTCTCAACATTGAGCTCTTCCAAGGCATAAAATAATCAGTTAAAATTCTTACGTGTTATAAAGATGCTGGCCCCAGAGAAGAGTGAGACCCGGAACACAGTGCAGCTGGGAGCAGCCTGGGCTGCGCAGAAGGCTCAGATCTGGCGACGGCCCTTGCCGGTGACTGTGACCTGGGGTGTCTTGGAGACTCTGAGTCTCAGCTTCTCCATATATAAGATGAGAAGAACCAGCCTCAGAACAATATTCTATAGCTTCAAACTTGCCTGAGAACCAGCCTCAGGCAAGGTTGTTTGTGCATTAGTGAAATCAGACGTATTAAATAAAGTACCACATTGATCATGGAGTTGTTAAATAACCAAGAACACACCTATCTGTCTCCAAAAAATAAATGTTGAAAATGATGAGGGTGTGGCTCTACACTGGGAAGGGAAATAGGGTGCTTGGATGAGTCTTGAGGCATGGGACAGAGGAGGAATCCGGGATAGTTCCGTAAGGAAATGTGCTTGCACTATGGTTTCTTTGTGGAGGCTCTTGTGTGCTGGGAGGCTGGCTGGGATGGGGAGTTGGTGGCAGAGAATAGTGTCTGTTTTCTTTCTCCTAAGTGGAGAATTCTGCAACAGGGGGCTGGGGTCATTAGGAAGCAGTGGGCAGGTAGGGACAGGCATTGGAGTGGACTAGCACTGGTTCCCTTGAAGCTCACTGGGGTAGAGGTGAAGGAGCTTCTAGGGCAAAGTTTGCCAGTTAAAGAGGAGCCATGGTTTGGGCTGCTCTCTGAAATGGAGAATTTTTGTGTGTGCCTGGAGTGTTTCTATTTGAGAGGTGGGAAGGTGAATTATTTACCAGTAAGTTTATCCTTCTCTCCTCAGATTCTGCAAAACTTTCAGACCCATAAACAAATTAGAGATTGCTTTTCTCCTCTTGCTTAACCTAAATTTCTTTGTGGAAGCCAAAGGAAAATATGAGTAATTTTCTAATATATTCAGTTACAGAGACAACAAAGAGAAATATTCAAGAAAAAAAAAAAAACCCTGAGGTGCTACTGACTTCATGTATGTCTTAGCTGTAGACAGAATTGGGATTTCCTAATATGGGTTTGTCCCAGTACAGCCCCTCAGAAAGATTTTCATCAGCAAAACACACATTGGAGGAGCAGCTGCTGTGCAGTTGTCTCCTTTAAACCATTTTCTCATTTCATTGCTAATTTTCACAGCACCTTTCTTCTAACAGTTCTATATTTTTGATCTGCAAACAACCTGGGATTATTTCTTTCCCTCTTGGTAAATAAAAGAAATTTAAAGTCGATTCTAGAGTGGGTTAGATTGGTTTATTCCAGGTCCCTTTAAAAGAAGTCTCTGTTAAAGGGTAAGCCATAAATACAATAAATGGAGAACTGCCTGGTTAACCGAGGGCTGATTCCCAGAGATGATGCAACCAAGGGGAGCTTCCTGAGCAACGTAGCTTAACTCCCTGCCAAGGTAACCACAGCTTTCTAACAATAAGTAAAATGTTTCTACTCATATCATAGGCACCCTGCAACAACACGGCCCTTTTCTCTCTGCCATGCAAAAAAGCATCAAGAAAGTAAGAAGGGGCATTTTTGAGAACAAACTAGGAATCTTAGCATAATGCCTTCTCTCTAATTATGCTGGAAACAGGCTTTGAAAAAGAAAAAAACTGAGGAGAAGATCATTAAATAGAATTCAACTAAAAATGGCTTTTGATATTCTGTAGCTTCAAAGCATTTGTATTGGGTATATGTTCTCATGGTTTTTGTTTGAAAGAGTTTAAGGTAAATTTGAATGTCCCATTCCTCTGAGAACTCAGAGAAAGCCAGGTTGATTAAGAAGTAATTAAGAAGCTGTGTGCAGTGGCTCACACCTGCAATTCCAGCACTTTGGGAAGCCGAGGTGGGCCAATCACCTGAGGTCAGGAGTTCGAGACCAGCCTGGCCAATATGGTGAAACCAAGCCTCTACTAAAAATACAAAAATTAGCCAGGTGTGGTAGTGCATGCCTGTAATCCTAGCTACTTGGGAGGCTGAGGCAGGAGAATCACTTGAACCTGGGAGGCAGAGGTTGCAGTGAGCTGAGACTGTGCCATTGCACTCCAGCTTGGGCGACAGAGCAAGACTCCATCTCACGAAAAAAAAAAAGTAATTAAGGCCAGATTCAAGCTTACTTCTTAGGAAAAAAAAAAAAGAGGTAATTAAGAACAGGTAGACATTTTAGATAAACTAGCTAATTAGCATTCATAGTCCCTTAAGTTTTGCTCTAATAGTCTGTTATTTTTTGCAAGTACATGATGTGCATGTGCAGATATAGTAGTTTATCATTAAGCCTCGCCTTATGATTATTAAATATGATACTTTGCTCTTTTAATACTTGCAGTTCCCATTTTTAATGTGCAAAAAAGTGCACAATTTTCCTTTGGTACCTGGGAATCTGTTTAATGGAAACTCTGCTATTTTTCCCTAAGTCCCTTTTAGTCACACAAAGGTAATTCACCTGAATTTTCAGTAAATCTCATGGGAGAAAAGAATCAACTTTGGAGGTTCTCAACCTAATTTTTTTTTACCCCAACCCAGTTTTTGTTCAGCCTCCACTGCATTTACTAAGTAGAGTAGCAGCTGTGGAACTATTGCATTTTTTGTACTGAAAATATACTATTGAAAGGAGACAGAACTTGATCTGTAGAAAAAGGGAAATCATTCTTTGGGTATGGAGGCCAAAGGAATTTCAAGGGCTACAACCTGCTATTAAACTGCTATGTAGAAGAGAAGGAAAAGTATTAAACAGAACCCAGAGACACTCAAATTTAGGAACCAGCATTGACCTTACCCTACAATTACTCCCCAGTGAGGAGTGATGAGTGGCAAATGACAGTCCCTGGACTAGGAGAAAGTTCAAGACATAGGCTCCCTTATCCTGGGCAGATCACATAAAGCTTTGGTATCCTCATCTCTAAAACATTTACCCTTTTTTTTTTTTTTGAGACAGGATCTTACTCTGTCACCCAGGCTGGAGTGCAGTGGTGGGATCTCTGCTCACTGCAACCTTCACCTCCCAGGCTCAAGCTGTTCTCCTGCCTCAGCCTCCTGAGTAGCTGGGAATACATGCACCTGCCACCATGCCTGGCTAATTTTTGGGTTTTTTTTTTAGTATAGACAGGTTTTCACCATGTTGGCCAGGCTGGTCTCAAACTCCTGACCTCTGCCCACCTCAGCCTCCCAAAGTGCTGAGATTATAGGCATGAGCTACCGTGCCTGGCCTAATACTCACTATTCTGTCTCCCTCAATTTACGGGGTTGCTATGAGGTTTAGTGAGTTCAGGTATGTGACTCTAGAGGGGGCTGAGTATGTATAAGGTAAGGACCACGTTCTCTATGACCTTTGCATCCTCCCATCACAGGTTTTGTGGAACTGTACTCTAGCTCTGTGATGGCACACGTGGAATGAAATAAATATATACGATATAGAAAAACACAAATGAATGTAAGACACATTTGCCGGTTCAGATTAATGGAAAGAGGCTTAGTTCTCATCTCCTTCCCCCAAATGACTTTACGGGGTTGCTTAGATTCAGTGGTGTGCTGGAGCGGGCTCCTACCAGCTGGAAAGAACCAGTTCAATACATCTCTTCTCAACTCCACGTTCAGAGTCGTCAAGTTGGCAACTTGAAATTGGCCATGCTGGAAGTATTTACAGCATGAAAATTGCCAGGTGCTACACATTATAGCTTTTTGTTTGTTTCAGAGAACGAATTGTTAAATATTTACCGGCACTCCACTGCTTAGATTTTTCCATTGCTTGTAAGTAATTTTGGTTTGATTTTATAGACTACGATATCCATGAGTATTATGGTTTTAGGGGATATGGCGTGAGCTGAAAACCAAAAGAAAAGCTCCATTCATTTACTACTCACAAATGCATCTTTGCCACTTCCCACAGGCAGCATGGAGACAGACATGGTCTTAGGTCCATTCGCATTAGTCACCCAGCACAGAGACTGTGGACTGTAGTGCGTGCCTTCAGTCTGGTGAAGGCCTCCTAAAATCACAACTCTGAGAGGAGATTTGAAGCTAAGAGACCTAGGTTCAGGTTCCTTCTCAGCCATTACCAACTGTGTGATCTTTGTCAAATGACCTGATTTCTGTCATTTGAGCTGATTTCTTTGGATTGTTCATTTGTAACTTAGGATAAATACCTGCTTCATAGACTTGTTGGAATAAATGGGATATTGCACGTAAAACACTTAGCATGTGGCATGGCCTATAGTGACCTCTAAATAAAAGAAGGGCAGCTGTCCATCAAATCACCATTGTCATCACCATGCTTGTCATCAGGAAGGGATCATGGGTAGTCACTATGCTTCATAACTATCCATGAAAAGGCCTTCTAAGGTCACAGGTGACTGAACTATGGTTTACTTCATCTTTTTTTTCTTTTTTGAGACAGAGTCTCACTCTCACCTAGGCTGGAATACAGTGGCATGATCTCGGCTCACTGCAACATCTGCCTCCCGGGTTCAAGCAATTTTCCTGCCTCAGTCTCCTGAGTAGCTGGAATTATAGGCGCCCACCACCATGCCCAGCTAATTTTTGTATTTTTAGTAGAGACAGGGTTTTACCCTGTTGGCCAGGCTGGTCTCGAACTCCTGACCTCAGGTGATCCTCCCCACTTGGCCTCCCAAAGTGCTGGGATTACAGGTGTGAGCCACCACACCTGGCCTACTCCATCTTTATAAAACCCTGATAATCTTAGATTCTCTACTGGAGCCAAGAAATCTATTTAGGCTCTCTTTTCCCATGACAAAGCCCTATAAAACAACCAGGTCAAACAACAGGCCAAGTATTAACATTTTATAGGTTTAAAAATATCATTCAATTAATTTTAAAACCATCACATCTCACTGTTGCTTGAGAAATAGGAAACAGGAACAGAAGGAAGAGACCAAAATATTACCTCATTACTAAGATGAAGGGTGTAGTTTAGTGCAAGAACCACATGGGCCTGCTTAATAGGACCTCAGAATTGGACAGACTTGATCCCCTGTCTCAGGCAGTGCTAACCAGGAGCTCATTCATGGACGAGAGGCAGAGAATGTGTACTCCCAGAAGCAGCAGCTTCCAGAAAAAGAGGGAGGAGCCAAGCAGAGCATGCCCACATCAATCTTCCAGCGTTTAATAGCTATAGAAGTTACTCAACCTCCCTTGGAAGGATAGAAGCTAGCATTATCTTTCTTAAATATGACACCTCTTATCTTTTTGTTCCCTTGACACTTGAGGAGGGAGGCCAAGGGTTGATTATGCAAGCAAGTTTGTGCATTTTGCACATTTATTAAGTTACGCTTTTGAGGAAATTAAAAGATCACAAGTGC